TCCAGAGCCACATGCGGCTCTTCAGAAGTTAATATGCGGCTCCTTGTATAGGCACCGACTGCGGGGCTGGAGCTACAGGCACCAACTTTCCAATGTGCCAGGAGGTGCTCACTGCTCAACCCTGGCTTTGCCCCAGGCTCTGCCACCACTCCACCCCTTCCCATCCCCTCCCCTGAGCCTGCTGTGCCCTCACTCCTCCCCACCACAGCCTCCTGCATGCCACGAAACAGCTAATCGGGAGGTGCGGGGAGGCACTGATTGGCGGGGCTGCTGGTAGATGAAAGACACTGGGAGCGGGTGGTGCGAGCTGCTGGGGGGTTGCTGACGTATTACTGTGGCTCCTTGGCAATGTACATTGGTAAATTCTGGCTCCTTCTCAGGCTCAGGTTGGCCACATCTGGCATAGTCATTCTGGATTTGTCAAGAAAAAATCATGCCAAACAACCTAATTTCCTTCTTTGACAGGTTTACAGGCCTAATGGATGGGGGAGGGGCAAGGGGAAGATGTAAATGTGATATATTTTGATTGTAGTAAGGCTTTTGACATAGTCCCACATGACAGTCTCATAAGCAAACAAGGAAAATGTGGTCTAGATGAAATTACTATACAGTGGGCAAAAAACTAGTTGAAAGACCATACTCAAAAGAGTTATCAATGGTTTGCTGATGTACTCAGAGGAGACAGCTAGTGCGATCCCGCAGGCGTCAGTCCTGGGTCCAGTATTATTCAAAATTTTCATTAATGACATAGATAATGGAGTGGACAGTATGTTTATAACATTTGCAGATGACACCAAGAGTGGGGAGGAGGGTGCTAGGACTTTTGAGGACAGGATTAGAATTAAAAATGATCTTGACAAATTGAAGAATTGGTCTGAAATCACACGATGAAATTCAATAAAGACAAGTGCAAAATACTTTACTTAGGAAAAATAAAATGCACAACTACACACAGAGGAATAACTGGGTAGGCGGTAGTACTGCTGAAAAGAATTGGCAGGTTATAGTGGATTGCAAACTGAATATGAGTCAACATATTGCAGTTGTGAAAAAGGCTAATATCCTTTTGTGGTATATTAACAGGCGCAGGGCCGTCCTTAGGCATAAGCAGCTGCATAGGGCACCATGAAATTTGGGGCACCAAATTGCCCCAAATTTCATGGTGCCCTAGGCAGCTGCGTGCTGCATATGCGGCAGCACCAGCCCCGGCGACCAGCCCTATCCCTCGGCCGGCCCCCCTGCAAGGGGCAGAGCCGTCCCTATGGCGGTGTGGGGCCCCAGACAACTCCCTCCACCCTGCCTCTTACCCTTCCCCACAGCCCGCCCCCATTCCACCTCTTCCCCCAGCAACCACGCACTGACTGGCAGCAGCAGGAAGCAGAGCAACCCGGCCCCAGCCCGCTCTACTCTGCCAGCTCCCAGCCGCAGCACTCTGCTTCCCGCTACCGGTGAGTGCGGGGAAAGGATTGCCCTCCGCACTCACCGGCGGTGGGAAGCGGAGAGATGTGGCCCCAGCCCGCTCCGCTTCCCTTGCCCCGGCCCCAGTCATGTCACTCGGGTTGGGGAAAGGACCGCCCCCGGCTCTCACTGGCGGCAGGAAGCGGAGCACCGTGGCTGGGAGCTGGCAGAGTAGAGTGGGCTGGGGCCGGGCTGCTCCGCTTCCCACTGCTGCCGGTGAGTGGGGAGTGGGGTGGATCCCTTCCCCCAAGCCCTCTCCCCCGAGCAACACGGCTGGGCCAGGGCGAGGGAAGCGGAGCGGGCTGCTCTTGGCCCCCTGCTAATCCCCCAGGCCACTCTGGGCCTGTGGGGCCCCCACAACTGCTGCCACTCAGATCCTGGGGGGGGAGGGGGTAGCGGGCTGCGTAGGGCAACCAAATGGCTAGGGACAGCCCTGAACAGGCGTTTCATATGTAAGACATGGGATATAAGTGTCCCACTGTACTTGGCATTGGTGAGACCTCAGCTGGAATACTGTGTCCAGTTCTGGGTGTCACACTTTAAGAAAGATGTGGACAAACTGCAGAGTCCAGAGGAGAACAACAAAAATGATAAAAAGTTTAGAAAACCTGACCTAAGAGACAGGTTTTTTTTAAAAAAAAGGGAATGTTTAATCTTGTGAAAATAAGACTGAAGAGAGAAACTAATAAGTCTCCAAATACGTTAAGGGGCATTACAAAGAGGACAGTGATCAACTGTTCTCTATGTCCACTAAAGGTAGGACAAGATATAATCAGATTAATCTGCAGCAAGGGAGATTTAGGTTAGATATTAGGAAAAACTATAAGGATAGTTAAGCAGCAGGGGCACTATTTAGGGCTCCCTCCCCCAAGTTTCGCACAGGAGCATGTCCTAGCCCCAGGCAGAGCTCTTAACTGCCATGCAGCCTGATGAGTGTGCAATGAGAGCTCATCAGAGAAGGGCTGGTCTCAGCTTGTGCTCTGGGGGCAGGGAGTCAGCATTTTGTTTACAAACTGAGGCAGAGTGATTAAGATAAGAAAGGGCTGGTAATTAAATTAAGGATCTGGAAGTGAAGACAGAATGCAGGGGACTGGGAAGAAATACAGCCAAGTCCTCAGAGCCCAGGTTTCATTCAGAAAAGATGGAGATGTGAGGGCGATGGGTGAAAAGGGGCCAAAACCCAGGGAAGGGCTAGCAGTGATATAGAGGAAAAACCCATGCTACCTGTGGTACTTATATGGCCCCATCACCGTAGTATCTGAGCACCTCACAATGTCTAACCTATTTCTCCTCACAGCCCCTCTGAAGTAGAGCAGTGCTGTTATCTCTAGTGTACAGATGGGGGCACTGAGGCACACGCTGACTACCAGCCAGATTTTCAAAGGTATCTAGGCACCTAGTAAAACCCACTAGATACCTAGCTGCATCTTTGGTGCCTAAAAACCTTTGAAACTCTGTCCCTAAGGCACTGGCCTGACGTCATACAGGAGGTCCAGGGGGAAGTAGAACCCAGGTCTCTGAAAGCTTGCTCCCTAGCCAATGCAACAGCCTCTCTCTGCTGTATGCTGCAAAAAAACCAAAAACAAACAAAAAACCACAAGAGGACTCTGATAGATGGGAGCAAAACCAAGAAGGCCAGTTCTCTAAGACTTCAGCAAACAGTCCCAAGCGATTGGGAAGGATGTCATGGTTGACAACATGTAAAGCAGCACACAGGTCAGGAAAGATGAAGAGAGAGAGAGAATGAGAGTCCGATGATAAGAGATCACTTAACTCCCAATGGGTGGCAGGTTCTGCCTCAGGCTGGGCTGTACAGCACTGGCTGCTGTGAAATTTTATATTTTTAACTAAAAACCATTTTGTTTTGTCATGTTTTGTTCTGAGTTTGAGAAAAGGAAGGAATGAGTATCAAATGTGTTTGTTTATGCCTCAAATTCTTAGGGTTTCAGCTGTATCCAGGCCAATTCCAGAACAAAGAACAGAAACTGCATCCACAGAGTCCATAAAGTCGACAATTATTGTCATGATTTGTATTATTCATTATATAGTATTATTGTGTCCCCAGCCTCTGTTTGCAGAAGCTGGGAATGGGCGACAAAGGATGGATCAGTTAATGATTACCTGTACTGTTCATTCCCTCTGAAGCACTTGGCATTAGCCACTGTTAGAAGACAGGTCACTGGGCTAAATTTTCAACCTAACCATTGTCATCACACAAGATGTAAGAACACGTTAAGATTAGAGCTATTTTATATATATAAGCTAATTTCTAAGTTATTGTTTGCAAAATAAGTAGAGCTTTTAGTTGCCTAAGTAGCCTTTGGAATCACAGTTAAAGTTGCCCTCCCCTATCAAAATCTGAAATGGCACCCCTATTAACCAGGGGAATAGGCTTGCAAAGGCTGCAAAATCCCCATCATTGGAGTTTTTAAATAAAAGGTTAGAAAAATACCTGTCAGAACTGGTCTAGGTTTACTTGTTCCTGCCTCAGCACAGGTGACTGGACTAACTGATCTTGCCAAGGTCCCCCCGGCCCTGCGTTTCCGTGATTCTTCTTTATAACTCTACTATACTTTGTCACCCACGTCTTTGTGCTCACTGATTCTACACTTTATTAGGATTTGTCTGTATTTTTCATCCTTGTCTGAGCGGTGACTATACACACCGCGTGAGAGCGTTGTACAGTAGTTCTTGTCCTTTGCCTAAATGAGATCTGACATATATAGGTAATAAGGACTTTAGTTTTCATGCAAGTCTGCACATATTAACCCTAGCACGCCTCTCTCCTTCCCCTCCCCCAAGCAGGGCTATTCTTTCACGCATATAACACAAACCTCCCTTGGGGCCGGAAAAGCAGCGCTTCTCTCCACACCCTTCAGCTATAAGCAGGGAGAGCGGCACCTTTCCGTAGCCCCATTGCGCCTTCCTGGAACAGGTCAGCACCGCCCCGTTCCAGCGCGGAGAAGGGGCCGTTCCCAGCCGCCTTCGCGCCTGCACTCACCCACCCCCCGGCCCAGGCGCTGCACTTTTAGGCTACGCGGGCACTACAAGGCAGCGGGCGGGGTGGTACCCGGCTGCTGTACCCGCCGCACGGGCTGGCTGAGCGCTGACCCGAGGGGCCGGGCTGAGTACACACGCCGGGCAGCTCCGTGGCCCGGCTGAGCCGCGGCTCCGCTACTATGTCCCCTGGGGCCGCTGGAGCGTGTGCAGGCGAACCCTGCCCTGAGGGCGGGGCCCCTCCCGGCACAGCGCGGGCTCAGGCCGGCGTGCGGCGCGCAGCCCGGGCTCCCCGAGCCCGTCAGGCGGAAGGGCCCCTGCCCGGCGCGCAGCCCCTTCGCCCGCTTGTCCTCGCCCCCTCCCTCGGCGCGGTTCACTGGGCCCCGCGGGCGGAGGAGGAGGTGGGTGTCGCGGCCCAGGACTCGGCCTGTCAGGCCTGCGCAGGCCCTTGTTGAAGGTCTCCTAGCAACAGCCCGGCCAATGGGAGCAGCGCCGTGTCGGGGAGGGGGCGGGGCGATTAACCCTGCGGGGCCCGGGCGGCAGCGGCGGCTGGGCTCGCTCGGGAGTCGGCCCCCCGGCAGCAGCAGGTGGTGCCATGCGGGTGAGTGAGCCCGCACCCGGCCATGGCTGCTCCGGTTGAGACGCTGGGGCCGTTCGGCTCCCTGCGTTTCCAGCCGGGCCAGGCGGCTCTGGGGCCGGCCAGGGGCTGCCGGCGGCGAGGGGGTTGCAGACGTGGGGGACACTCGCGCGCGCGCACACGGGGGGGTTTGCAGACGGGAGGGACGCGCGCGGGCGCGCACACGGGAGGGGGGAGTTTGCAGACTGGGGGGCCGCTCACGCGCACACAAGGGGAATTGGCAGACGGGGGGGGGGCATTCATGGGGGCGGGGTTGCTCCTGCACACACAGGCGGGGTGTTGGAACAGTTTGTATAGTGGGGGGTGCTGAGAGCGAATGAGCCAAACTGTACGTGATGGAAACCCCTTGAAGCCAGGCGGTGCCTGCGGCAGCACCCCTACTTTCACCACTTATGGGGGGGGGAGTTTGCAGATGTGGGCGCTCTTACACACACCAATGGGTTGCCAGTTTTGGTTGGATGTATTCCTGGAGATTTCATCACGTGACATAATCTTTAATTAAAAATTAATTCCTGGAGACTCTAGGACACTCCTGGGGGGGCAGGGACTTTTGTGTGCAAATGGCTGAGGGGATGCTTGTGCACACACGAGGGGGGAGTTTCCAGATGGTGGGGGGATGCTCATGCACACATGGGGGGAGTTGGCAGGCAGTGGGGGGATGAGGAGTTTGTGGGGGGAGGCACCTGCGCATGCACATACTGGGGGGGACGGGAGTTTGGAGGTAGGTGGAGGTGCCCATACCCACACCAAGGGGGGAGTTTGCAGACTGGAGTGGGGGGGGACGGTGGGAAGAACACGTGTGTACACACATGGGGGGGAGGTTAGCAGGTGGTGGGAAGCTCGGGGGACATGCTTGTGTACATGGGGGAGATTGTAGGTGGTGGTGGTGGCTGGCGGATGCCTGTACGTACATGGGAGAAGATTGCAGGTGGTGGTGGGGAAGTGCGTTCACACACAGTTTGCGGGGGATGCACTTGCACTCACAGGGGAATTTACAGGTGGTAGGGGGAGTTAGTATGTGGTGGCAGCTTGGAGGGGATGTGTGTGCACAGGGGGAGGGGAGTTTGCATATGGTGGGGATGTGTGCATATGGTGGGTGGGAGAGTTTGCAGGTGGGGGGGGACGCACGTACTCCTGGCAGTGGGGAATGCGCCTGTAGTGGTCACACACATGGGGAGAGTTTGCAGGCATTTGGGTGCACATAGTTTGTGTTGGGGGAGGGTACTGCAAACTGTCTCCAAACACAGTATTGTAATTGCTTTAGGGAATTAGGCTAGTGTGTGCAACTGAACTGCATAACCTCTTAGCAGTAGCGCTGAAAGTGCCAGTGTAGCATCTGTTCTTGTCTCTCTCTTTTTTTTTTTTTTTTTTTTAAAGCTGGGGGTGGATAGGAGGGAGGCTGGTAAGTGGTGTGTGAGTGTATGTGAATTTTATTTGTATTGTGGGTTTTCCTTGCTGTTCCAAGCTTTATAACTAAGTACTGTGTTCCCAACCTCTGTATTCCTCGCTGTCAGTCATGTTTGGAAGCAGGGTGGAGTGGTAAAGATATATTCCATGGTGTCAAATTTCTCAGGGGCAACATTTTGTTGATGCTTAGGCTCTAACTACACCAACTGTCAGTGAGGATCTTGTAAATCCTGATGTGCACACCCTGTCAGATTCAGGGTAATCTGTAGGGATGATGCTGTACTGGATTATCCAGTCTGTGTACAGTTTTCAGGTTGCTAGCTGGACCCCTTCTATCAGGCCAAACATGTTGATCTGTGTGAAGCTGAAAGTAGCAGATTCTTCTAGGCTGGTGAAGGTCTTACATCTGTTTTAAGAGTCCTGTGAATTTGCAAAATTATTCTGGGTTTTGCTGCTAAATTGGTTTAACATTGGAAATCAGGAGTTGTAGGAGGTAAGAGGCCATGGTGTTTATATTGCATTATCTTGACCCTTGTTTTGCTTTTTAAAAATAATAATTGTTGATCAGGATTTTCTTTTTATTTATAGCAAGATACAGAGAAAATTGTTTAAGATCAAATTACAATGCCAGACCATTTTAATATTATCTATTTTTGTATATCTTTAGTCATACAGAGCACTTCTCAGTTACCAGGCTAGCATGCAAATAAATATAAGTAACTTTGTAGCATCCAGTATGTCCTTCCTGTAGGTATGATGGACACCTTGCTCAAGTTTCAGGGGAATGGTTTGGACATGAGTAGAATGGGAGGTCCATGAAGTAGGATTTGACTTTATTAGATGACAGATTCTTAGTAGTAAACCAGGAGGAAAAGTTGTTTTGAGAGGGGACTTGATATCATTTGAAGCCATCATCAAATGAGAAGGAGTAACATGGAAGCAGGATTTTTTTCCACACTGGAGAGATGGAGAAATGGGGGAGCAAGAGACAGACCCCTGGTATTTGAAGTGAGTAGAACTTGGGCTGGAGAATAGAAAGACCTAGGTAGGTAGGAAAATATCTTATCTGTATCTTGCAAACAAAATTAAAAGGAAAAAGCCAAAAAAAAATTAAAAAAAAAAAAAAAAGTTGAATTCAGAAAGAAGGCTCAGGGAGTGTTCGGGGACTAAATGGAAAAGTACCAATGCTAAAATCTTGGTGATCATTAAAGTGAGGTATAGTGGAAGAAGAATGTTTTGTGCTAGTCACATGTAGTAGGTGTTTTGAATACAGAGAAACAAGAATTAGGTACCCAAGATCTCCACAAAGAATACTTGGTTGGATTTTGTCATGGTCAAATGCAGCATTGAGGATGAGGTAAAAGTCAGAAGAGAAGATTGACTAAATATATCATATCAGATTCAATACCATAAAGCCCATTGTAAGCTATTAAAAATGCTAAAATGGCCACCAAGTGCTGCCTAATAGGGCCAGAAAGAGATACCTAATAGGGAGATGGTAATGCTCTCACAGTAGAGGGATGCTAATGTGGAGATGAACTGGGTATGTTCAAGGCAGGATGAGGATTTGGGAGCTGGATGGAATATTTCTCCAGTGGCTGAGTGAAAAGAAAAGATCAGTCATCTGTAAAGGCAGAAGGCATGGTTGAATCTTGCAATAGTAGACGATGCTGTATGAAAAGAGTACTGAATGTACTTAGTAAAGGGGTGTGTGTGTGTGTGGGGGGGGGGTAACTTTGCAGCTCAGTATTTAATGTTATTCTAACTTCATGGTGTAAGGAGCTAGGAACGTGATGGAGCAATTGTCTAACATTCAGGCATATGAGTTAACTTTTACCAGATGTAAGTGTATGTGTTTCTGTGTGATTGTAGGTGTATAACTGGTCAACTTCAAATGAACATTTTACTTGTTAAATTGCAAGTCTTCTTAAAATGCAAATTAAATTGAGAGATGCAAAATAAGAACATAAGAATGAACCTACTGGATCAGACCAATGGTCCATCTAGTCCAGTATCCTGTCTTCCGGCTGTGGCAAGTGCTTCAGAGGAAAGAAACAGAACATTGCAATTTATCGAGTGATCCATCCCCTGTCATCTAGTTCCAGTTTCTGGCAGTCAGAGGTTTAGTGATACCCAGAGTATGGGTTCCTGATCTTCTTGGCTAATAGCCATTGATGGACTTATATCATGAATTTATCAATTTCTTTTTTTGAACCCACTTATAGTTTTGGCCTTCACAACTTCTCCTGGCAATGAGTTCCATAGGTTGACTGTGTGTTGTGTGAAGTACTTCCTTATGTTTATTTTAAAGCTGCTGCCTGTTAATTTCATTGGGTGACCCCTGGTTCTTGTATTATGTGAAGGGGTAAATAACTCTTCTCTATTCACTTCCTCTACATCATTCATGGTTTTATAGACCTCTGTCATATCCCCCCATAGTCTCTTTTTCTGAGCTGAGCAGTCCCAGCCTTGTTATTCTCTCCTCATATGGGAGCTGTTCTATACCCCTAATCATTTTTGGTGCCCTTCTCTGTACTTTCTCCAATTCTAATAGATCGATGGGGCAACCAGAACTGCATGCAGTATTCAAGGTGTGGTCATACCATGGATTTATATAGTGGCATTATGGTATGGGTACCCAAACTCCAAAATGGGTCTGTCTCACAAGACCATAATATACAGATGCATTGAGTGAATACTACAGTACTGCAGGCTGAAAAATTTGTGATTTGCTTTTTTCAAATTAACTTTGACGAGTTTGAATAGCTTAGACGGACACACAAAACTCCTTAATTAAAACCTCTGAATGTAGAAAAATGTTGGCAAAATATGACCCATGCATATTTCTGTTATTAATATAACTGACCTCACTAAACTAGGTTAAATAGTTACCAACTAATAAACTAGGGTTTATGAATTTCTGGGGTCCATTTTTGACTATCCAGTAGTAACTTTTTATTATAACTATAATGAAAATAGACTTTGAAAAGAGTTAGCACTAATTGCAAACTAGATTATTAAAATCTGCAGTAAAATAATGAGCAGCTGTCAAGTTTTAAAGGGGGGGGGAACCTGGATTTTCAAAAAATAAAGCAAGTTTCTTACGGCATTTTGATAGATAGGCATAAAGTTGTAATTTAATGACTTCTGTGTGCCCTAAATTTCCATAGGCTGATATGTTTTTGTTTCATCTGGATAACAGCCATCTGTGGAGGGGATTACTAGGCAAATATAAAAGCTTTAAGCAGCTTTACATCTCCTTTTGGAATTTAATCGTAGCAGAAGTAATAGTGTTGTATTTTAAGTAAATGTTACCATCTTTTTTTTTTGGTTCTGTTTTATGAACAGCTGTCTGTGTATTTTCTGTGAGGCAACTTACAAGTTGCAACATACCTGCATTCTGCAAAATGTAGTGACTAAAATATTTGGGGAGTGGCTGTTTATATTTGTGATATTCGTTGGCTGGTTGAAGTTGAGTATTTTCTTTTTGTAGAGTAGTTCTGACATCAGGAAAAATTAAAACTTTCTGAGAGAGAAGAGAACTAGTTTTGGAGAGG